AATCTGGATCCCCCATGGATCACTCAGCTTCCTGAAGCCTAAGGACCACTGAGGTAGGAAATCCAGTAAGCCACCACTGAAGCCTGAGTGGTATGTTTCCATTCCTTCAAGAGATGGTTCTTTTAAGATTCAGCTCAGGAGCTTCAAAGGGGCCACCTCTACTAGGAAGCCATGACCTTCTGATCAACCCATTGCAGTTCAGGTGCCTTCACAGCACCCTCATCTTCTCCTTATCATAGCATCCACCACACACTTTGCCACTGTGGTTGTTCACCCCAGTTTCCCCCATGAGCCTGTGAGTTCCTGAAATACAGGTACCTTATTTTGTATTGTGTTTTTTACCCCAGCACTTGGCAAAATAATAGGGTCTCAATACATGTTTATTGGATGTAGTCCTTCCTTCCTTCATTCTTTCTATCAATCCTTTCTTTATTTCTTTTTCCCTTCTTTTTCTTCTTTCCTTCTTTTTCTTCTTTCTTTTTCTTTTTTCCTCCCTCCCTCCCTCCCTTCCTTTCTTCCTTCCTTCCTTCCTTCCTTCCTCCCTTCCTCCCTTTCTTCCTTCCTTCCTCTATTTTCAGAGAGCCAAAAGGTCAGAGTGCCTATATGTTTTTCTTATATATCACAATATCACAGTAATGTTACTTGGTTGTCTCTGAGCACTCTTTGGTATTGGCAGATGTTCAAAACTGACTTTCTTTGGGTGTTGTAGTAGATGTTGAGATCCTTTTGGGAACATTCAATGGTATGTTCCATGACACAGGATGCCACTGGCTGGACTTAAACATCCTGCTTTAACCCGTGTGAATCCAGCCAATTCCCCTCCCATCCCTACATGAGGTACTCTTACGCAGGCTCTAAAATGACTCATATCATCTTTCTCTTTCACGTGGCCCACCTCTGACCCCCCAAAAGCCCCATTTGGCCCTGAGCATGTTTTTATCCTTGCCCCACCAATGATGTACGTGTAGCTAGTTCACACCTTTCTGCCCTACTGCTTCAAACTGATCCCCACAGCCTCATATCTGTAACTTCACCAGGCACCCACAGGGGTATGCAGATGAGACAGCACACATTTTCTAAAACCCTGTCTCTACTCTCAAACTTCTAGTTTCTTGGATTTTAATACTCTTATATTCTGCATGTGAGCAGTGTCCTAAGGGCATCATCTTCTTTGAGGATCTCATTTACATGGCCTAATATTTCACTTTGGTACACGGGACCATGGTTTTGTACTTGGGCTTTGGAGTGTTGACCAAAATGTAGACAAAGAGAGTCTCATCTTAAATCTCTTTACAAAAAAAGGTGATGCTCACATTAGCCCTAGCAGCAGCATTTAAGGGCAAGGAAACCTTCAATCAGCTAAACAGAAATGCTGGTACACAAAAGAAGCAACCACTCAGCAGCAATCTTGCAAAAAAACAAAAATGCTAAGAAGGCATTCAGGAGGAGAAACAGATGGGAATAGGGCTAACTACCACATGCACAAACATAACTTGGGAAACAGGACAGAGGTTATAGCTAAGATGTAAGAAATCAAAGCCCCATGACATATACAGAAAGGTGTATACAATATCCAAGCCAGAGCAAAAATAAATAAATAAATAACCAGGTTCATTTTCTGTAAGGAGGATGCAGTGTCGGGTATTTAAAAGGTCACTGGGCTAAGAATTGAACAACTTGGCATTCTAACAGGGAAAGTATTTAAGATGTTAATTAGACTTTGGAACTAGTGAAGATAGATTTTAATTCGTAATATACTTTCTAGCTGTTAGATTTTGAACAAGAGATAAAGTTTCACTTTGTTTCAGTGCTCTCATCTATACAGTGTGAGTCACATGTGGGTACCTGCCTGGAGAGTTCTCCAGAGGGTGAAATGAGAGACACAGTTCATGTAACCATCTTACTGAGTTGATTCTATTCCATCAATAGAAGCAATCATGAAGCAACCTGATTTGAATCAAGCTGCCCCTTAAATTCCACATGGATACCTAGTCCTAATTTTTGACTTATTAGAAATTTTAACCAAGTCCCATAGTTTTTTGGTGGCCCCCTCAATCTTAAGAAAGACCTTCTTTTAGCTATAAAATTTTCCAGTCCAGTGAAGAAATTAAAACTTCTAACTGATTAGATTTAAAGTTCTCACCTTCCCAGATCTGTGCTGCTTTGGTCCTGGAAGCCTGCAGTGGGTGTCGCCTTGCTCCACTGCTGTTTTGTTTTTTTTTCCAGGCTTTTCTCTTCTACTCCTGCCCCCATTCCTGATTCACAAGCCCCTCCCAAGTCTAGCTGATGGGGAGAGATGAGGTGAAAAGGCTTAGTGTAAGCGATCCTTACTCCCTTGATCTATGCTGGTGGCCCAGGGCTTGCAGGATATTGAAAATAGACTCCTTTCATGGGGCACTTTGCTTTCAGGGACTGTCACAAGAGCCTCCAGCTATGGCTTGCTGAAGGTAGGCAAAGCTTCTCCTCCTCCTCTTCCCAACCCTTGAGTATCTGATGGGTTTCTTGTGCTGGATTTCTTTGCCCTCTGCTCCTACCCTAAACAGCCCTCTCAAGAGTGCTCTGGCAAATTCTCTTCAGTGAGTTCATAGGCAAATTCGCACAGTCATATATCCTTGACCATCATCCCCACTTAAAATGTGCCTGCTCCCCCACAACCCTGCTCTGCCAGACCAGGCAAGACCTCTCAGCTTTAGGTTCCCAGGCATACGTCATACACCTGGACTCTGTCCTCTAAATTCCAAGACACACCTACTAATTTCTCTCAGTGGTCCCTTGAAACTCCTCTCAACTGTAGAAGGAGGGACTTGAAAATCACAACTAATTAAAGCTTCTTTCAACTCTTTAACTCTAGTCTCTTCAAGGACATAATCATTCATACTGGTCTAATCTAGTTTAGAGTCTCTTATAGGTCCTGCTTAGGTGGTCCAGCTTCTAGCTTCAGGACATATGGTTCTTGCCAAATATCATGTTCTAGTATTTAGGCCTCTGCCCCAGCTCTATGACAAGAGGAAGAGGGACTCATCCATCCCCCTGCCACATGTAGGATCCTACCTGACACATGAAGGTATGGAAGCTCTGTGTCTGTATCCCTTCCTTTTTTATACCTGGGACTTTGAGTGAGCCATTTAAAATCACTGAATCTAGGATTAGAACTGAGATAATATCTTTCTTGTCAACTTCATAACTTTGTTGAGAATAGCAAGAAACAAGATGAATGAGCAAGTGCTTTATATTAAAAAATCTATAGAAAAAAATGTAACCTACTATTAAGATATAAGAATAGCAGCTTCATCAGGAATAGTAACTCCTTGGTCTATTTTCTTTTCTATCTAATACATACTGCAAACCTGGTAGAGAAAGGACAAGTTTTCAATGACCATGAACAAATAAATGTCAAAGAGAAGGTTAATATCTTATTTATGGATTCTATATTAAACCTAAGGCTTGACTACCATAATGCATGGAATATAAGGAACAAATATTGAGGTTTCTATACCTAATATTTTACTTGATCTCACCTCCTCCAACAACCCTGAGACCAAGAACATTTTCATCTAGAAATTAAAAATAGATGTTTTCTCAGGGTCAAAGACTCTAAGTGCATGCCAGGCAATGCCTGCCTTGTCCAGCTTGCTCTTGTCCTGACGACAGCTCTGTGCTCAAGAAAACAAGGTTAAACTTGGTTTAGGGGAGTAGGGCAGGGTGGCTATTGATTGAGTTAGGTACCAGGCTCAAGAGCTCTTTCCATGTGTGAGCTGGGTAGAGACGGCCTGGCGGTGCAAAGGCAAGAGGGTAGGGTGGGAATGGAGGAAACCTTCAGAATGCCCCTGAGATCTGAGCTATGAGGCAAGAGGACAACTGAGCAGGGAGAAACAGAGATGCTAAGAGAGACTCTGTGTTTAAGTGTAAGAGAGAGAGAGAGAGAGAGGCAGAAAGAGAGAGAGACTGTCTTGTTGTCTTGGTTCTTTTAAGTGCCTTGGTTCCATATCCAGGCAGCTGTAGCTTTATAATAAATCCCCATCTTTCAGACTATCCTTATTACTCTATGTCCATTGCAACTATAAGAGGAAGGGAAGAAACAGCATGGGACCTACAAAGCTAACTTATTTCCATCACACTGGAGAATTGAGAATCTTCTTGAACTATTTCTCCCTAGCCCTGCCTTATTTCAAACTAACCCAGACTTTGGGGGCAGAATGCAGCACAAACCCAGTCTTCTCAGCACATTCATATCTGCCCTTGTCAAATTACAAGTTCTTCGGGCCCCAAGACCATGCTATTAAGGCTGAATTGAGTCTTCAACTAGTCTCCAAAGGTCTTAGCATTGTAGGATACAGTTGGGGGGGCGTCTCTGCAGTGTTGAGTTCTCGCCTCATGCTGATTGAGTAGAAACCTCAATAGCCACTCACAGCAATTCAAATAGGAATTACTTATGTGATGAATATTCTCTTTGTGACTGGGTCATACAAGTATTATAAGGATATTAGTAGCATGTTTTGATTACTCACAACTCTGCCATCTTAAGATAAGCACAAAGACTTGAAATCAAAGACCTGGGTTCAAACTCTCACTTTTCTACTCCCTAACAGTGTAACTTTGAGTAAGTTGCTTAACTTCTAGGAGTTCCTACCCATCTATAAAATAGAGATAATAACACGTTCTTCTTAGGGTTATTGTGAAGGTTAAAGCAGACACCTAGCAAGATGCTGCAGCTGCAGCAGCAGCATTGTAACAACAGTAATAATTTCTTGAGCACTTGCTCTGTGGCAGGCTGAGTTAAGCACTTTACTTGCTTTATCTCATTTTATTTTCCTGATAACCTTATGAAGTATGCACATTTTAAAGGTAAGGTCGCTGAAGCACACAGTGACTAAGTCATGTGCCTGAGTAACTAACAGAGCTAAGAGGTGGCACGGACAAAGTGCTCCTCCCTTTATTTTTTCATTTTTTTCACAAGGGGGAAGATTCTAGACTTAAAGAAATTAGCAGCAACTACTCACTTCAGGCTCATCCGTTCCAAATCTCTGATATGTTGAATTACACAGTTTTTTCACTTCCTCGGGACCCTCTACATCATAATCTTTGGGATAAGCTTCTCTGTCACGGTGCCTTAAGAAAAAAATAAGATTCTGTTAAGAGGTGAAGCTTACTTATCAAGAATTGCCTTTAAATGTTAAAAAATATCCAATAAAATTTAGTATATTCATTACACTATTTTAATTCTAAATTGACTGAATTTATGACACATATTTTCCACTCTTTTTGAGTAATGCTGAGACTACTTTGTAAAAGCAACTTGACACGTGGTAAAACCAATACCACAGAAATAACCCTGAGCAAACACGGCAATTATTCAACGGCTCCAGTGAAGTAAATGTTATTTAGTAATGGAGATTATCTAATGAAAGTAAATTCTAAAATAAGATGTGATATCTTAGAAAGGCAACTTGCCACTTTAGAATCTTTTTCCACCATGAATTTTAATTATAACTTTTTTCAAAATGAGAGAGAACAGACAGTATTTGCTCATATGAATTTGTAACATGTGCTCCTGCTTCTAAAGAGTGTCTAAAGGAAACTGGCGATTAAACATAAACTAGAAAAAATAGTTCTTAAAACATGAAGATGGAAAAGGAAAAAATATTCCAAATGTCTTGTCTAAAAGACTGGTTGGAAATAATAATAAAGGAGGTACTTGGGGATAAGGAAGGAAAAAAGAGGTAAAGTGGCCTGCGAGATGAGTAGCTGTTTTCGTAAAGCTTTCCTGGGTGAGATGAAGGAAGCTGAGCCCAAGCACCCTTCAAAAGAGGACTTGCTATTAAGGGATACAGGGCTAGAACTGTGTAAGGACACTGACGTATCCAAAACCTTATCTACCCATCTGTCCCTTCAATTATTCCTTCATTCGGCATGTATTTTTAAGTGCCCACTACATGCCAGGCATTTTGCTAGGTACAGGGCATGCAAGCCAGATGAAGGCCTTGCCTTCAGTAGCTCACAGTGTGGCAAGAACAACAGAGAATTAAACAAGAAATATCTACAATGGGGACAACTGTAATTGAACAACAATTAAAAAATAATCAAAAAGAAAAACCTACAAGGTGCTGAGTGTGGTCACAGGGTTGTGGAAGCTGAACAGCATGCATTCACCCAGATGAGGCACCCAGCGTGCACATTAGGAGGCCCTTTAGGACCTCAACCTCATCTTGACCCTTGCACTGCATTCCGTTTACATGCTTACCTCCCCACCTCTGAGCACTGGGAGCAAAGCTGTGCATAGAGCCCAGCAGTGAGGAACCCCAGATTGGAGTGTCTTCCCTTCCTCATATCAGAGCATTAATTTTAAAAACACTGAAAGTATTTTGATGTGATACCAGCATTTTTTGATACTCCAATGGAAAACTCTCATGTAAGTCCTTAGCGGGTATATTGACCAACATCAAGAACCAGGAGTAGCCCTGGCTGGTATAGCTCAGTGGACTGAGCATGGGCTGTGAACCAAAGGGTCACCAGTTGATTCCCAGTCGGGGCACATACCTGGGTCGTGGGCCAGGTCCCCAGTGGGGGCCACATGAGAGGCAAACACACACTGATGCTTCTCTCCCTCTCTGTCTCCCTCCCTTCCTTTCGAACCAGGAGTGGTAGAGGGAATGAGGCCATGGGGTTGAGTCTGCTAAGCCAGGATCTAGCTGTGTGACCTTCGGCAAGTTATTTAACTTTTCTGTGCTTCCATTTTCACATATGTAAAATGAGCACAAAACAATACCAATACTTTTTTAGATTTTTATAAGAATTAGAATGAAAGGAATATCCACCTTGAATTTATTTTTGTGTATGGTGTAAGTTGGTGATAGAGTTTCATTTTTTTTGGCATGTAGCTCTGTCCAGACCACCCAATACCATTTGTTTAAGAGGCTATTTTTACTCCAATTTATGCTTTGGCCCCTTTGTTGAATATTAATTGGCCATACATATTTGAATTTATTCTTGGGCTCCTTATTCTGTTCTATTGATCTTTGCATCTCTTCTTATGCCAGTACCAGACTGTCTTGATTACCATGGCCTTGTAATATAGTTTGGTGTCAGGTATTGTAACCCCTCCTACTTTGTTCTTCTTTGTCAAAATTGCTGCAGCTATTCACCATACCCAAAAATAAATTCAAGGTGGATAAAACACTTAAAAATAAATCACAACACCATAAAAGTCCTAGAGGAGAACATAGGCAGGAAAATCTCAGATATTCCACACAGCAATATTTTCACCGATATGTCCCCTAAAGCAAGTGTGTGAAACTCATTTTTACCGGGGGCTACATCAGTGTTGCAGTTGTCTTCAAAGGGCCAAATGTAATTTTATAACTGTATAAATGTAACTACTCCTTAACTAGGAGTAAGGAGCTCGGTGCTGCTGCCGGGTAGAAACAAGGTGCGGGGTCCACAAGGTGGAGAACTGGATTTGGCCCTCAGGCCTTGTGTTTGCCACCTGTGCCTTAAAGGAAAGAATAAACAAATGGGACCTCATCAAAATAAAAAGCTTCTGCACAGCTGAAGAAAACAGCATTAAAATGAAAAGAGAACCAATCATATGGGAACATATATTTTTCAGTGATACTTTGGACAAGGGTTTGATCTCCAAAATATATAAAGAACTCACATGACTCCACTCCAGGAAGACAAACAACCCAATTTAAAAATGGGAAAGGACTTGAACAGACACTTCTCCAAGAAGGACATATGGAGGGTTCAGACACATATGAAAGGATGCTCAGCATCACTAGCCATCAGAGAGGTGCAATTAGAACCACAATGAGATATTACTTTGCACCCATCATAATGGCATCATAAACAACTCAACAAACAACAAGGGCTGGCGAGGTTGTGGAGAAAAGGGAACCCTAGTGCACTGTTGTTGGGAATGCAGACTGGTGCAGCCACTGTGGAAAAATAGTATGGAATTTCATCCAAAAACTAAAAATGGAACTGCCTTTTGATCCAGCAACACCACTGCTGGGATTATACCCTGAGAATCCTGAAACACAAATTCAAAAGAACCTATGCACCCCAATGTTCATAGCAGCACAATTTATAATAGCCAAGTGCTGGAAGCAACTTAAGTGCCCACCAGTAAATGAGTGGATCAAGAAATTATGGTACATTTACATGATGGAATACTGTACTTCTGGACAACATAGATGGATCTGGAGAGCATTATGCTAAGTAAAATAAGCCAGACAGTGAAACACAAGTACCACATGATCTCACCTATAAGTGGAACCTAATGAACAAAACAAACAAGCAAGCAAAATATAACCGGAAACATTGAAATAAAGAACAAACTGACAGTAACCAGAAGGGAAGGGAGAGAAAGTAAATGGGGAAAAATAGGGGAAGGTCCATCAAGGAACTTGTATAAAGGACACATGGAAAAAGCCAAAGGGGTAGGTTCGAGGGTGGGAGGTGGGGGTGGGTGGGGCAGGGGTTAGGGGTGGGGTGAAAATGGAGACAACTGTACTTAAACAACAATAATAAATAAATAAATAAATGAAATGAAAGAAAATAAAGGCAGAAGGTCCTTCAAACACTATAAAGCTCTATAAACATCTATGTATAGTAAATACTAATTGGGCTTCAAAAAAATCCTGGTTTGTTGAATTGCAACTTAATGTTTTTGTAATTTAACTCAATTTTCATAATTTAACAAAGTCCTCATTCCAGGTGGAAAACGTTCATCTTGGTTAGTTCTGGATTTCTCCCAGCTCTAAAGAGTCTGTGTGGTACCACAAAGCCAAGAACCCATCTTCGTTGTCACTGGCTCTCCCTGACAACATTTGCAGAGCGCTCTCACTCCCCTGTGGTTTCCAGTTACGGATCCATGCAGCTCTCTGCTATGCCTTCCCGGTCCAGCCACACAGGTGTTTGTATAGAATGGCACCCAGATACAAGGGTGCCACTCCCAATCCTACCAAAAACTTTGTGTCCATTTCCATCCAGGGCTCCTGGAAACCCAGATGCTGTCCCTGTGCTCTTTGCCTGGCCCACCAAGCAAACAGGTGTTTCATGTCCCCACCATATGGGTCATGGGGGACACGCAGGAGCCCTGCCCTTCCACAGCTCCAAAGACATTATCCTAGAAATAGAGGGTGAGGCAGTGATAAGTCCCATCAGCTCTAGGACTTCCAAAACCTGAATTCAGGTTTGCAATCCTGAGCGAATTCACACACACTCAACATCTTTGGTTTCCTCTATCTTCAGTCCATGAACTCTTCACCTGTGGTGGATAGGGTAACCCAGTTCTTCATCTAGTTTTCCAAACCCACGTTGTCATCCTAAGGTACAAGCTTTTGAACCCCAAAGCCAAGAATTTGGCTCTGTTGCCTACTGTGTTCTTCTTCCCCAAGGCAATAAAACCAGAGTACCTCTGTAAAATCTTAGGAATTAAAGGGGAAAGCACCAACTAACACTACAATGTATTATTCCCAGGGCCTACCTCTTTATGTAACCCAGCTGGAATCATACATATCTTTAGATCAATGCAGTCATAAACTATCATTTTTAACATTTGTTTAATGAAGGTAGGAACCCCCGGAAGCAAAAATGATTAGTGTTCTTGAGAGTCAGAAGACAGCCCTGATTATCCCACTATGTATTTTAAGTTGTATTATAACTAGATTATTACAAAAGATATAAATATGTTTCTTTCATTACGGCAATCTCAGACAGAAGCCAAAAGCCCAGCACTGAAAAGATAAATCTAAAATGAAAGTGTTGCTTTGGAGGATTAAGCTAATGCAGCTGACATTCCCTAATGCCCGTGGGCTGCCGCGGACAGTGTGCACGCCGCCCGCAGGCACCGGGGATGCACAGCCGGTGGTCTCAGACCTCCCTTATTTCTAAGTGTCTGCCAGCCCACCAAAGAGAAATATACATTTAAAAAATATAAAATCTATAAAACATAATAGAAAAAGTTAAACATTTTACTACATATCAAATATATTTTTTAATTTTTATGTTTTAAATACAGTATACTTACTATATACTAAATAGATATTTACTATATATAAGAATACATAGGGGATTAAAATAAATAATTAGGGGACTATAAAGGAAAT